GTGTATATTTCCCCAATTGCTAGACGTTTGCTGTGAGAGAAATTTATGACACTGACCTTTTGAAATAATTGAATACTTTCAGTGCAGGAATGGCCCTGATAAATTGTTAATTTATTTTACACGGACTGTAGTGTGAAATTGCTACAAATTGGATTCGTGAACAGTTCGTAACCTTTCTCAGCGAAGCTGTGAGTAAACTGAGATGAAATTTCAAATTCAAAACCACACGTTAGCTGCACAGATCCAATTTCATATGAACAGGAATAGGCCATTCAGCCTGAGCTTGAGCCTGTTCAGCCTTCTATAGGATCGTGGCTGATCTGTATCTCAAGTCCAATTATTCGCCCTTGCCCCATATCCCTGACAAATAGCTATCCACCTCAGTGTTGAAGATGTGAATGGATCCACAGCCTTTTGGGCGAGAGAGTTCTAGATTTCCACTGATCTTTGGCTGAAGAACTGCCCCTGATTTCACTCCTAAATGGCTGAGCTCTAATTTTAAGATGATGCCCCTTGTTCTGGATTCCCCACCAGAGAAAATAGCTGCCCTATCCAATCCCTTTAGTGTTTTAAAAACCTCAATTTGATCAGCCTTTCAAAGTTTAAATGCCGTTCGGTTTGACTTTTGCACCAGAAATAAAATGGGATATTTCTGATGGACGAGGAGATTGAAATGTTCTAGTTGAGGTGTTTTAAGATGTTTAAACTCCTGATGTGAGGCTGGAATAATCCAAAGACAGAAGGAAGTTTCTTCCTCACTTTCAGAACATTGGCTCCCCCCGGCAGCAAATTGGCCTCAGTGACCCTAGATGAGGAAGGGGAAATATCCATGTTTCTTGTTCCTGATTACTATATAATAATAATAGTCCTTGTGTTTGCTATAGCACCTTATCACATCATAGAGACGTCTCAAAGCGCTTAACGGAATATAGTGTAAAGTGACTGATATTTTGTTGACGAAATGTAAGTTGTTCTTGTTGAAATGTGGCAGCCAATTGTTTACAGCAGTGAATGTCCCACAAACAGTCCTGGATTGAATCACACAAGTTTTTTTAAGGGATTATCATCCCCGGAAAGTAATCCGCCAATCAATTAACAACCAATATACAGTCAATTCACTTTACAGTGTGTTCTGTGAAGCGCTTTGGGACGTCCTCCCGACGTGAAAAGCGCTATATCAAATGCAAGGATTATTATTATTATTATTACCGGGTTCCTATTTACTGCTGGGTAAACAGAGGCGTGTGCGGAGTAAGGAAACTTGGGTTTTGCCCTCCCTGGGAATGGAAACCTAGGTCTCTCGCTTGTGAGGCGAGGACTCTAACCACTGAGCTACAGGATTCCACTTTCCAGTGAAACTGCAGAAATGTGTGTATTTCTGTACTTGATTGTAAACTCCACCTACAACTTCACAGTCAACCGGATCAGGCGAACCAGACCCAGCAGGGGGGCAGCATCTGCAGTGGAGGAAGAGAATAGTGTTCCCCCCACCCCCCCCATACACATACACACACACCCACCCACGCGCACCCACACACATACACACCCACACGCACCCACACACATACACACACACACACCCACACACATACATACACACGCACCCACACACACACACCCACACGCACCCACACACACCCACACACATACACACCCACACACATACACACACACACCCACACGAACCCACACACACATACATACACACCCACTCACACAAATACATACCCACATACATACACACCCACATGCACCCACACACACATACATACACACCCACATGCACCCACACAAACATACACACCCACACACATACATTGCAAGGATTTGATATATATTATCATTGCTAATTGCTGCAGGAATCTACTTTAATCAGCAAATTTAGATTGAATGATTGTCAGCTTCAATGCTGAAGATATTCTTCTTTCGCTGTATATTTGTGCAGAAAGCATGTCACAGACAAACTGGTCAAAAGGGTTGGAATAATAAATGTGTTGACTCCGGCCACCCATCCTCACAGTGCCGTCCGCCTCACTGTCCTCACTGCCTCAGTGACCGGGAAATCCTCTCAGACTCAGTGTGTCCCCTGTGGGCAGAAGGCAACTTATTCAACTTATTGAGGGATTCAAGCAATAATACTCTCAGCAATAAGGTAAACCCAATACGTCCCTCCAGGGAGAGAGAGAGAGAGCGCATTCCAGTCCAACAATCTATCGCTGGGATTTCCATGTATAGGTGGGAGGCATGGAAATCTCAGCTTGGTTTGGAGACTTTTAACAACAACAATAACAAATTTCATTTATAGAGCGCCTTTCACGTTGGGAGAACGTCCCAAGGCGCTGGACAGTTGGGTCAGGACCCGAGCAGGGGGGAAATGGTCAGGGTGAGGGGAGGGAAGGGAGGGAGCGAGGAGGGGGGAAATGGTCAGGGTGAGGGGAGGGAAGGGGTGAGGAGGGGTGATGGTCAGGGTGAGGGGAGGGAAGGGAGGGAGCGAGGAGGGGGTAGAGAGTCGAGAGCGGAGCTGAAGACACGGTCAAAGAGAAAGGTCTTGAGACCGGCCTTGAAGGAGGAAAGGGAGGAAGCGGTGAAGGCACTGGGGATGGAGTTCCAGAGCCTCGGGGCTGAGAGGCTGAAGGCCACCGATGGTAGGGCGGTTGGGGCGGGGGATGTGGAGCAGACCAGAGCCAGAGGAACGGAGGGTACGAGCAGGTAAGCAACGGTGATGGGTTTCCGTGTGTGTCAGGCACTCAGCTGAGAAAGAAAACAACACTGCGGGCGGGGGAGTGGGACTGATTATATATAACAATATAATAATAATAATCCTTGCATTTGATACAGCGCCTTATCACGACTTTCAGACGTCTCAAAGCGCTTCACAGAATAGACTGTAAAGTGTCGACTGTATATTTGTGGGTGAAACGCGGCAGCCAATTGCACACAGTAGTGTCCCACAAACAGTTGTGGTTTGAAAATGACCAATTTATTATTGTTTTTGGTTTTGGAGGGATTATTATTAGGCTCTGTGTGGAGTAAGGAAACTTGCCCAAGGTTTCGCCCTCTGCCGGGAATTGAACCCAGATGTCTCGCTTGCAAAGTGAGTGCTCTAACCACTGAGCTACAGGACTCCACTGCGCAGCTCATCTAAAGCGCCTACACAGGCACGATGGGCCGAATGCACTCCTTCTGTGCTGTAATATTCTACAATTTTATGAATGCCAGTAGTGGCATATTTTATAAAATGGCGGTACTGTAATGACATTTAGTTGGAAATTCCGGCTCACCAGACTGGCTCTCCCGCCACATTAGTCCGGCTAGCTGGGGTTCAGTCTAAATGCTAATTTCACTGCCGTATGCCATCCAAACTCTTACTTACAGGCAAAGCAACATAAACAGCACATCTTACAATAGCTGTCGGTTTCACAGTTATTTACTCTCATGTCCATCTGTTCCGTTCACCACTTCTTCACTCTCAACAGCTGGGGGATCGAGAGTGGGCAAAGCTTTTCTCTGACAAATTGATATTAGAACCTTCTCCTTACATTCAAATCAAAACTCGCTCCCTCTCTTACTTTAATGTGTCCCCAGGAACTCACACCAGGCCTCAGGCTTTCTACATTCTAATAATTTCAAACAAAAATGCAGCAACAACAACTTGCATTTACACAGCAGGGCAGCGTCCCAGAGCTGACAGTGGAGGAGCAAGACTCCAGGCTGGGGGGAGGAAGAGGTGATTGTAAGCAGTCAAAGAGGAAGGTCTTCAGGCGCGATCTGAAGATGGGGAAAGAAGGGACAAGGCAGAGGGATAGAGGGAAAGTGTTCCAGAGCTTCATTTAATGTAGCACTCTTCACCCGAGGTACGTCTCAGAGCGCTTAACCACTACTTGACTGATCTCTCTCATCTTACTGGAGAGGCTTCAGCAGTGAAAACCATGGATCTTCTCTCCTTCTCCCTCCCCGTCAGTCTAAAGGCAATGATAGGACAATAATGCACAGTAGTTTGACCAATTTGAATCAATAATGTTTCTATTTGAAAATGTACAATAATAATAAATAATAATCCTTGCATTCGACACAGCACCTTATCACGTCTTTGAGACGTCTCAAAGTGCTTCACAGAATATACCGTAAATTGAATTGACTGTATATTTTGTGAGCAAAATGCGACAGCCAATTGCACACAGCAGCGTCCCACAAACAATCGTGGATTAAATGACCAAATTGTTATTATTTTTTATTTATTTATTTTTTGATGGCAATATTACCCTCGGAAAAGCGATTCGCCAATCGATTAACAACTGGGTTCCTACTTACAGAGGCGTGTGGAGTAAGGAAACTTGCCTAACGTTCCGCTATGTCTGGTAATCAAACCCAGGTCTCACTTGCAAGGCAAATGCTCTAACCACTAACAACATCATATGATAATTGTACAGTGAGGGCACTTCACGTCAGAAAAACGTCCCAGGGCACAGGACAGTTAGGGGATTTTGGACTCGAGTTGGGAGTTGGGGTCAGGAGGGGTGGAGTGCAGGGGGGGTGGGGGGGTGGGAAGGTGGGCGAAGGCATGGTCGAAGAGGATGGTCTTTAGATGGGACTTGAAAGAGGCAAGAAAGGGGCTGAACCAGAGGGATTACTGGAAAGAGTTCCACAATGTAGGTGCAGAGATGCTGAATGCCCGACCACCAATGCTGGGATGGGAAGTGTGGGGGACCTGAAGCAGCCGGTGTCTGCCGAGCGGAGGCAGAGGACAGGCTGATATGGGATGAGGAGGTCGCAGGGGTGGGGGGAGCAAGACCATGGAAGCCTTTGAAGATAAGAACAAGGGTTTTGTACTTGATTCTCTGAGGGATGGGGAGCCAGTGAAGCCGGTCCAGGAAGGGGGGTGATTAGGTGACTAAGGTATAGGACTCCTTGTCAAATCTTTAACTAATTGAGAGCACAATGAATATTGTTAAGAGAAATACCTGGAAGTTCAGGTCAAGGAAGGGACCTGTAGTCTTTTCTTGAATATAAAATGACTTTATTACTGATGGGAGGAGGGAAAATAAATCAAAACATAAAGCATATGAACTCAAAGGCTGACTGACTGCTGGTGACAGAAACACACTTTAAAAATCTGTATAAAGCTCACCTTCCTGTTAAGAACATCAACAATGTCTGATGCACTTTAATTTTTTTTAAATAGACTAAACAGTGTCAATCAAAAAATTAAATAAATGGACAAATGGCAGAAAATTAATATTAAAAAGCTACGAGAATGCATCTATAAAAGGTCCTAATTCCTGGTGTTTTAACAAAAACAACAAAAAAACATTTGGCATTTTATACACAAATGTTAACTTTTCTCTAACAAGCGATCAGACATTTTGCTACAGTAAAATTCCCGATACAAAAAAAAGCTTCTTTTTTATAAAGTAAAATCACAGAATAAATTTTCCACACACAAGCTTCTGTAATTGTTCATCACATCTAGGACATTTAGTAAATCTACTGAAAAACAAGGAATCAAATATATGCTTTCTCGACGCTTCACATTTAGACCGTGTTAAACGTCTGCACCATTTGGAATTTTCAAGTCCTCAGAAATCATCAATCAAAAGGGCTTCTCAATAAGATCCACAGATCCCTTCATCATCAAAGTGGGCTGTGAACTCAGTCTTTCTGCACAGTTTAGAAGTGAGGTGGAGAGGGTTGGGGAGGGTGGGGAGTGGGGGAGTAAAGGGGGAAATCATAATAATCCCTTAAAGGTAAGACCACAAACACTAGGCTGAAAGTCCTGAATCAACCAACCACAAAAGCAGTCACTATGGTAGCAGTTGAGAGCAAAGCTTGTGGCAAGCAGAATATTCTCCTTCATTTAACAAGAGCTAAATTGCCCCTTTTTATCATTTTTATTTTTATGTTGAACAGACAGAGGGTTAGAATCCTAAGGGAAGGTAAGTGCTCTGACAGGCAGGGTGCAGGCCTGTGTTTCTAAGTGCTTGACGGCTGCCTGGGCTACATTCCACAGCATTGCCAATGTGTGGGGCATCCAATGGTTTGGTCACTTTCTGGGTGTTGTCCTTGTAGAGGAAATGATGTCTTGGATTCAGGTGAGGTAGAGTGGTTTCTCCCTGGGGATCATTCTGCAGAGGCAAGAGAAGGAAAGGCAGAGTTACTGAACAAAATAAAGTTCACTTGGTTTTTAAAATTAAAAAAATCAGCACCTTTGCGTTATATTCATCATGTATCAGAAGATTTTATTTCACAAAACAATAATTGTCCAAACTCGCTGAGAAATGTGCTATTTTTGGAATTGAGTAAAGACTCGACTGGACTGTACACAGTATGTGTGAGAGCTGGGCTTCATGCACAGCACCTGCTTGTTGGATGCTCATCAGTTTTGCTTGATCCCAGCTCAATCCATCGCTCTGTTTACCCTAAATAATCAATCCCCAGGGGCACCCCATTTCTCTTGATTCACACAGAGGAACAGATACACACACAGACATCCCCCCCACCCCACACACACAGACACACACAGAACTATACCCCACCCACACACACAGGAGCTTGCTCTGTGAGACCCCGAGTCACACAAGTTTACTCTTTTAATTCCGAGCCTGGAATTTTACACACAGTCGCAGGCTTCTCCCTGGTCACCTCATTTAATACCCACAGCCACACAGGATTGACTTAATAATAATAATAATCCTTGCATTTGATATAGCGCTTTTCATGTCGGGAGGACGTCCCAAAGCGCTTCACAGAACACACTGTAAAGTGAATTGACTGTATATTTGTGGGCGAACGCGGCGGCCGATTGAGCACAGCAATGTCCCACAAACAGTCGTAGATTGAAAATGACAATTTTATTATTGTTTTGGGTTTTGGAGGGATTATTATTAGGCTCTGTGTGGAGTAAGGAAACTTGCCCAAGGTTTCGCCCTCTGCCTGGAATTGAACTCAGGTCTCTCACTTGCAAAGCGAGTGCTCTAACCACTGAGCTACAGGACTTGTTCTTGTGTTGGAGATGATGTAGGGGCCCGTCATGTCCCTGTGGTTTACCTGCAGCGGTTGCAGTGGTTGAGGCCACACTCGCTGCTGCAGTATTCAGTGTCCCACTCAGTGCTTGGCACGGAATGATTGGAGCCGCCGGCAGCAGGCGATTGGGCAATCGGGCTTTGATACTCTGATGACATGTGAGCATAACCCTGTGGGAAAAGGGGAAGGTTATTCATCAACTTTTTTACTCTCTGGACTGAACATTTCATTGTTTTTATAATTTATAACCAACAATAATGATGCTGCCACTTGGACATTTCTGCACTTCTTTCTAAAGGAATGTTTTGGCACAGCATCAACTGTTAGTCTGTTTGTGGTTGGGTAAAAAAGCATCAGGTAATGAACGACAGATTTAACCTGGATTCTGACATCGAGTTACATTGTGGTCTGGCAGAGAACATAACAATAATAATAATAATCCTTGCATTTGATATAGCGCTTTTCACGTCGGGAGGACGTCCCAAAGCGCTTCACAGAATATACTGTAAAGTATATTTGTGGACGAACGCGGCAGCCAATTGCGCACAGCAATGTCCCACAAACAGTCGTAGATTGAAAATGACCAATTTATTATTGTTTTTGGTTTTTGGAGGGATTATTATTAGGCTCTGTGTGGAGTAAGGAAACTTGCCCAAGGTTTCGCCCTCTGCCTGGAATTGAACTCAGGTCTCTCGCTTCCAAAGCGAGTGCTCTAACCACTGAGCTACAGGACTCCACGACAAGGGAGCTCAGTCCTCAACATAAGAACATAAGAATTTGCTGGTGAAGGAAGACCAAGGTCCATTTAGTTCACCTTCCACCATCCTGGCAGTCGCTTGACATGTCGTGTCCCAAACTATATACTGTATCCTCCAAATATTATTTTCTAGCAGAAATCTATCTAATTTGTTCTTGAAACAAACAACACTTTCTGCTTCCACCGTCTCTCTAAGGAGCCTGTTCCATAAGTTTATGAACTCGCTCACTGAAAAACAAGTTTATATAGAGAAAATAATTAAATAACAGGAAATAAAATATAGATGCAAGCAAGAATATGGAAAAGAACAGAAGTAATATTGCTATAAGGTTATAAATTCTGTATGTAGTTTATAACAATATTGCAGTAATAACAGTAATACCATCAACATTCCAGTCGCATTATTACTGCAATATTAATTATTTAACCTGTGAGGTATATAATGCAAACAATATCTGGATTGATGGACTGAATTTCCTGGGATAATAATCATAATTATCATTTGCATTTAATACAACATCTTATCACGTCTTTGAGACTCTTCAAAGTGCTTCACAGAATATACTGTAAATTGTCTGTATATTTTGTTGGTGAAATGCAGCAGCCAATTGCTCTAACCACTGAGCTACAGGACTCCATGATGGGGTTACCTGCTGGCCTGGTGGGGAGTGAAGCTGAGATGGGACCTGCAGTGGCATCTGGCTGGAGATGATTGGCTGGTTCTGCATGGGGATAGGCTGGCTGAGGATGGAGCTCTGCTGGTGGAGCTGCTGGTGGAGGGAGAGCTGCTGGTGGATGGGAGGGCTGATCTGGAGAGGAGGTGGAGAGGCACTCAACGGTGACATCATTGACTTGGCCGGGAGGTTTCTGGAGAGGTTGTGGTGAGAGGGGTCAGAATACGTCTGCAGATCTGTCTGAGGGAGAAAGGAGTTTGGTCCAATATAAGGTGAGGAGCCCTGAGGCATGGAGTACAGTGACTGTTTTGGTGCCATCATGTGCGATTGCTGAGACGTTGGCCCACCCTTTGTGTCCACTTGGTCACTGTAGCTCTGTAGAGGAAAAAGAGAAAGAACATGATTATCCGTGGTGCTGTGTTTCAGCAACTTGGGATGTCCTTCTGATGTGAAAGGCGCTAAATAAATGTAATTTTGTTATTGTTCTTATGTTGTATCAATGTTGAAAGCGGGGGGTGGGGGTGGGGGCTATTCACAGGGGGGGAATGTGACTAAATAAAAGTATCAGAATCTTGATCATGGTAAAGGATGTCAGTCTTGGGGAAGGAACATTCACATTGGGATCACTGTGTGAGGGTCAGACATCCCCAGCTCTGGGACAATATGGCTCAGATGGCTTAAGCAAGCTCTCCCTTCTCTCTCAACGTGTCTTATTCCAAATCTCAGAAGAGGTTGCGTAACCATCCACACTAACCATCCATCTTCATAACCGTTCTCAGTGAGTCTAGATTTACTCTAGAATTATGTAGCATTTCAGAACAGACAGAATTTGGAAAATTCTTACACACAGCCTCAGTCTCCATTATTGTTTAATTCTCAGTTCATTTAAATAACCTTTATTTTCCTCCTTTCATCACTTAAACCTGAGTGTCATACACAGTTACCCTCCAGTACCTTGTTCCAGGGGCCAGAGTATCTGTGAGCCTAGACAGGGATTGCTGGCAGTTTATAAATTCCATTGACAACAACAGATTACATTTACACAATGACTTTCACGTTGGGTGGACGTCCTAAGGTGCTGGACATTCAGGGATTTGGACACGAGCAGGGGGTTAGGATCAGGAGGATTGGAGGGCAGGGAAGGTAGAGGTAGGAGGGTGTCCGAAGGTGTGGTTGAAGAGGCGATTTGGGGCAGGGGGCGTGGGGAAACAGAGTGAAACACAATCCTATCCTTACCAACACAGGGAGGGGAGCTGTGAGCTGTTACCTTGGATACTAAGCTGGCTCTATACGCAGCGAGAGCCTTCAGGTATTCCTTCTTTGCAGCCTCAGTCTTCTTTTTGTATGCCTGCAGGAACACAACAAGCCTGTCACAAAGCAGTCAAACATTGCCCAATTCAGCCACTAACAGTCAGCTATTTGGAATTCTCCTTTTGCTCATGTAGATCATGTGGAAATCAAGTGATATTTGCCATTGATTCTGTATTCTTTCAGGTGATGGCTATTGCTGGAGAAATTGTACTCTTCTTATTTTGATATCAGAGTGCGTCCCTTCAGGGAGAGAGTGTGTTCCAGTTCAGGGAAGCTTGCACGCAGAGGAAGGCTCTCTTTACTACAGCAAGACATTTATGTATTAAACAGCCGGGTGTGTCATATGTGGAAACCCATCACCAGCATCCAAATCAGACAGACAGAGATCATGTGTCTATTCCATCTACACATGGAAATTTGTGGGTGTCTAGAATGGTATGCACACTCTCTCCCTGGAGGGATGCAGTCTTCTTATCTAATTCCAGAGAGTATTAGGCACAGTTTGGCAAGAGCCATGGCTTTGGAAACCCAAAGTGTATTTTAAGGTACCTTTGAAACTGTTTGTGCATTACAGACTAGGCTGGCTGCTGTATTCAGTTATAATAATAATAATCCTTGCCTTTGATATAGTGCCGTCGAGGCGTCTCAAAGTGCTTTATATTTGTGGGCGAAACGCAGCAGCCAATTGCGCACAGCAGCGTACCACAAACAGTCGTGGATTGAGTGACTAAATTTTTTTTAAAAAGGCATTATTATCCCCGGAAAAGTGATCCGCCAATTAATTAAATCAGATTCCTACTTACTGCTTGTAAACAGAGGCGTGTGAGTGGAGTAAGGAAACTTACCCAACGTTTTGCCCTGCCTGGGAATCAAACCCAGATCCTCTCACTTGCGAGGCGAGTGCTCTAACCACTGAGCTACAGGACTCCATGGAGTCCCTTGTGAATTAAAGATTAACTTGGTTATGGCCACAGCATTTATGTGACAGACAGAACAACATTGTTTCTAGCAATGGGAGGGGAAAACTTTTTGATCTGCAAACTAAGCTAAAGCTGGTAACTTTTTAATTTCTGAGCCACTCCCCATAACTAATGAGATACCAAACGACAGAATGTTTCAATAAATTATCATGCTTGACAGTTTCTAATTAGAATGAAGTAATGTGAATCACCCAGAGGAGGAACTGTGAGCATGGGTCAGGGGCTGCAGAAACAAACAGACGAAGGCAGCATATGCTGGGGCTACAGTGGTGGTCTGATAATGTCCCCGCAGAATTACCTGCTAATTGGGACTTAATGAAATGCTCTTGTTTTTGATATATTAATTAAAAAGACAGTATTGCTTTCATTAGCCAAGATCTAAAATCAAAACTACACAAGACTGGCTTGTATGTTGTGTGTTTGATGCACATGAGCTGTTTTTATTGTGGTGTCCTATAGTTCAGTGGTTAGAGCACTCGCCTCACAAGTGAGAGACCAGGGTTTGAGTCCCAGGCAGGGCAAAACATTGGGCAAGTTCCTTACTCCACACGCCTCTGTTTACCCAGCAGTAAGTAGGAACCCGGTTGTTAGTCGATTGTCGGATCGGTTTTCTGGAGGAAATAATCCCTTAAAAAAATGGTTACTCAATCCACGACTGTTTGTGAGACGCTGCTGTGCACAATTGGCTGCCGAGATTCGCCCACAAAATATACAGTCAATTCACGTTACAGTATATCCTGTGAAGCACTTTGAGACGTCTCAAAGACGTGATGAGGTGCTATATCAAATGCAATATTATATTATTATATTATTACTATCGGGAAAACAGGAGTAGAAATGTCACCGTCTCATTAAATGGAGAAGACAGATAAATTTGATACTGGTCAAAATTATTTTATTTTATGTTGGAAACTGACACTGGGCTCTTTCCATTCCCAACCCCCCATCTACGCTTCCATTCTTTTAGAGCGGGGGGGAGGGGGGGGGGGTCTCACCATTCATAATAATAATAAACCTTGCATTTGATATAGCCCCTTATCACGTCTTTGAGACGTCTCAAAGCGTTTCACAGGATGTACTGTAAAGTGAATTAACTGTGTATTTTGTGGGCGAAGTAGTACAGAACTCACATTTTTATATCTTTCTGTGTCAAATTTACATTTGCCCTCTTCTAAAAGCTGGTGCTAAGTTGTGCTGTAACGGAGGCAGGAACCTTGGCAGGCAATGCAATCAGCATCCACTGAGTCAGCACCTCTAGAGTAGGCAGGTAGAATAATACAACTGAACTGCAAGCACTCTTTAACACACATCACATTTGGGCAGTGAATGGGTTAAAATTCTATCAAATGAATTTGTATTTGGTTCAATATATGGCTGTTGGAAAAAGTCTCTGTTGCCTTTGAATGGAGCTGATAGCTGAATGCATCGCAGGCGCTCGCTCCAAGGGTTAAAATAAAAACCATTTCCTGAGCAGGTGTGCTTGAAGCAAAGGCAAGGAGAGGGAGATTGGTAATCTAGTATTCTGCAGCAGCAATTCAGTCACTAGGGCAATCCGCACAACTAAATACCAGGAAATACAGACAATAGCAATGTCTCTGAGGATCCACACACATTCTGGATGAAGGGTTTAGCGAGCAGAGAGATTGCAGGCAATATAATAATAATAATCCTCACGTTGATACAGCACCTTATCACGTCTTTGAGACGTCTCAAAGCGCTTCACAGGATACACTGTAAAGTGGATTGACTGTATATTTTGTGGGTTAGCTGGGTCCTCTTGCTTGCGAGGTGAGAGCTCTAACCACTAAGCTACAGGACTCCACATTACTGCAGATTAACTAACATGGCAAAATGATACCATTAATAGAATCCAAGTAAATCTAGGGAAGTAAAGTGTAAATATCTGCAGTCTCTGCTTTGCCCGCACCTGCTTCTGCTCCTCTCCAAGACCATCCCACATTGAAGCAACAATTTTGGAAACGTCACCAAAGGTAGCGTTGGGGTTTTGGCCTTTGATAGCTGCCTGTGTGTCTCGGAAGAACAGGGCGTAGGCAGACACCGGCTTCTGGGGCTCGTTAGGGTCCTTCTTCTTCTTTTTCTTCTGTGTCTTTGTTTTCTTGCCCAAGTCCGTCGATGGCCTCTTCTCTGTGCTGATCTGCAACGAGAAGAGATGGGTAACAATATGGAGTCATAATTACTCATTCCACACAATCAGTGCTCATTTTCAGTGGTGTATCAACATCATTCTAAAGCCTTGATTTTCAAGAGATCTATATGAAGCCTACGAAGCTTTAGATTGGAGACATGCAGGTCACTAGCCTTAAGCACTGATCTGTATGTTAATTGTGCTGGATTACATGGGGAGCATCACTAGAGGGTTAACTCTAGTAATGCCCGACCAAATATGTGGTTGAAGGAGAATCCAAAATGGCTTTTAAAAAGGGATTAGACAAGCTGTGAAATGGAGAAAAATGAAGAATTGTGGGGAAAAGGTAGGAACGAAGGACTGACTGAAGAGAAAGCTGGTGGTCTGAATGACATTCTTTGTTTGTTACATTCTGTTTGTATGTTACACTTTGTTCCTAAGGGCTCCAGCACCTTCCCTGCATGAGGGGCGCTATTATAAGTGCAAGTTGTTGTTGTACATTGTAAAGCTAGGAAATGGAATGTTTTCTCACTTTGCCAGAAAGCATTCACACCCAGCGTTCCTAACTCAGGTACAGGAAAGGTTAATGGCAGAGGATAGCTCCCTCTATATTGGCTCAACAATGTTCCTCAGCCCAATCCTTCTCCACTTTATCCATGTTGTATTTTCCATACCTGGCATCCTATGGCCTCTCTTGAGGGAGATTCAGGACTGAATTATGAGTCCTTTTATTCTGGGAGACCGCACCCACTAGGAATTGGGTTAAGATTTCCCTCAATCCATTTTGCATCGATACCCTTACAGTCGACTGACAGAGGACACCTTCCACCATTCCATGCACTAGCCACTTCAACCAATATAAATCAGAATTCTTTGTAAGGATTTTCTCTTTAAATCAAGACATTTTAAAGGGCCACCGACTTCACAAAGCTTTGTGTGAAGACACATGGTCATGATATAAGCTGCAGCTACACATTCAGTGTGAGAAGGCAGCCCTCAACGCTCCACAATCCTCATGCCATCCCCTTGAGAGCATATCATTGAGATGCTTGGTGGTGAGATATGTTCCTTTGTGTACCGTGTCTCTTGCCAAACACCTTCAAATGGCCCATCCATCAAGTGTTTGATGAGGGTCAGCGAGCAATATAAATATGGGGAGATCACAGCTGAGTCCTCACTTAAAGTGAAGTTCCAGCCAACAGGAGCAAGAACACTGAGCGACTCTTTCCCATGCGCTCTCTCTACAAGGGTCGACAATTAATCTGAGTGTCCCACGCTTTCTCTCTCTCTCTCTCTCTAGCTCAGGGACCTAAGGTCCAGTGTAGTGGTGCCCTGGCCAAGATCAATGAAGTCAGCAATGATCAGAGAATCAAGGCTAGGACTTTCCAAGTCAGTACATTTCACAATGAGCCATCGAGGGAGCTGAGACGTATCATTCTATTCAATCATCATAATAATAATTCCGGCATTTGATATAGCGCCTTATCACATCTTTGAGACATCTCAACGTACTTCACAGAATACACTGTAAAGTGTAGTGACTGTATATTTTGTGGGCTAAATGTGGCAACTGGTTAATATCAACAATCTAGCTCAGACACCGTCCTACCTGTGTTCAATATTATCTGGGGTCCACAGGGTATAATAATAATAATCCTTGCATTTGATATAGCGCTTTTCACATCGCGAGGACGTCCCAAAGCGCTTCACAGAACACACTGTAAAGTGAATTGACGGTATATTTGTGGGCAAACGCGGCAGCCAATTGCGCACAGCAATGTCCCACAAACAGTCGTAGATTGAAAATGACCAATTTATTATTGTTTTGGGTTTTGGAGGATTATTATTAGGCTCTGTGTGGAGTAAGGAAACTTGCCCAAGGTTTCGCCCTCTGCCTGGGATTGAACTCAGGTCTCTCGCTTGCAAAGCGAGTGCTCTAACCACTGAGCTACAGGACTCCACTATAGAACAAAGAAACTAGTGTCAGGCAGTTAAAAGCAAATATCTGGCTGTACCTTGGACAGGGGGTCGGGCTCCTCTTCATGTGCTGAGCTGGAGGGTGAGGGGGTGGCTGATGTGCTTCCTGGAGGTGAGGGAGAGCCATGAGTGAGAGCACTCCTACCCATGCTCAGGACTCGAGCATTCAGCTGTGAGTAGCTCATGGCGTGCCTTGATGGCATTATTCCTGACCGACTGACCATTGATGGGTGAGGTCCCGAGTCGTATTGGTGACCATGTGGTTGACCCATTTCATGCATCTGGTGAGGAAAAATGAATCGTCAAAGAACACATTAGTGGCACAGGCAAAGAAAATTCATGCTATTAAAATCACAGCTCTGGTACTTTCTCCCCACCCTAATCCATGGTCGTTGCCCCAAGTCCTGGAAAGCCAGGAATGTGAATCCACTGGAAAAACTCTGGAAAAGTGCTCTGTTTGTGGAGTGCTTCAATAGTGGATACATCACATCCTGGAGTAATTGATGGATGAACCTTCTTTCCTCTCGAGTTCCAATCTTTTACTCCATCGTAGCAGGCGATCAACACCAAGACATACAAGAGTGTAACAATGGTTGGGTGAAGGGGGACAAGTCTGAGCTGAACTGCTAAATCGCCACAAGGCTGCTTTGAGGACTGATTGTGTGGATCACACACTATCCCTGGCTGATGGGGTTTAGGTAAGAGTGAGAGGCCTTGTGACGGATGAGCTAGAAACTGGAATAGGATTTGAACCTTCAGGGAACCACTCTGAATATCTCTTGTCTAATAAAATCTGAAGTTTACTTTTTTCCCATTCTTTTACCAGTCAGAGGAATAACTGACTGAAAGAGTGTGCACACAGGGCTGCTGTGTCGTGCTGTCAATCACCATTAGATGGTGCTGTTGTTGTAGATCAATCCATCAGAAAAGACCTTGTTCCCTCAAGCTGACTGTTTGCACATACACTCCATGTAGTGACTTCTCCCACTAGATGGTGGGTCAAACACTTTCATTTCAGAAGTGAAACCGATCTACGGTTCTATAATAATAATAATAATAATCCTTGCATTTGATATAGCGCTTTTCACGTCGGGAGGACGTCCCAAAGCGCTTCACAGAACACACTGTAAAGTGAATTGACTGTATATTTGTGGGCGAACGCGGTGGCCGATTGCGCACAGCAATGTCCCACAAACAGTCGTAGATTGAAAATAACCCATTTATTATTGTTCTTGGTTTTGGAGGGATTATTATTAGGCTCTGTGTGGAGTAAGGAAACTTGCCCAAGGTTTCGCCCTCTGCCTGGGATTGAACTCAGGTCTCTCGCTTGCAAAGCGAGTGCTCTAACCACTGAGCTACAGGACTCCACTATATTCCGTGATACCCAAAGGCAACTGAGAAACAACTCCATCCCCATAGTTCCATTGTTGACCCTTGACTCCTTCCTTCTTCCCCTCCCTTAGCCCAGCAGCACACACCACTGTGCCACACAAGTTCATCACAATCTGCATCTCCGACCTGCTTACTCCCTAACCCACTACCTTTGCTGACTGACTCCAGCCTCCTGCATATCCCTCGTGTCCCCACCCCACCCCGTTCCACCATTGGTGGCTACGCTTTCAGCCACTATGCCCTGAAACTCTGGAACACTCTTCCTCTATCCCTTCACCTACTCCTTCCTTCCCCATCTTCAGATCGCGCCTGAAGACCTTCCTCGTTGACTGTGCCTATGGTCACCTTCCTCCAGCTTGGCTTTGTGCTCCGTCACCTTTGAGCACTTTGGGACAATACACTACCGAGGGGCGTGGTGTAAATAATAATAATAATAATAATCCTCGCATTTGATATAGCGCTTTTCACGTCGGGAGGACGTCCCAAAGCGCTTCACAGAACACACTGTAAAGTGAATTGACTGTATATTTGTGGGCGAACGCGGCGGCCGATTGCGCACAAACAGTCGTAGATTGAAAATGACCAATTTATTATTGTTTTGTTTTGGAGGGATTATTATTAGGCTCTGTGTGGAGTAAGGAAACTTGCCCAAGGTTTCACCCTCTGCCTGGAATTGAACTCGGGTCTCTCGCTTGCAAAGCGACTGCTCTAACCACTGAGCTACAGGACTCCACAAATGCAGGTGGTGATTGTTGCTGTTGTTTTGTGCTGTCTTCTGGTGTCCAGTTATCAAGGTAGACATATGTATTTTGGAATACGTTTGTGTAAATTGATAAGCCAGATACTATCCACACCGGAAGAACAATGGACCTTCACAAGTTCCGGGGAAGAAACAAAATAGTGGACACAAAAAAAAACTTCTGAGGTTGATGGTAGCTCAAATATCCAACATCTCCCATGTCTACCACCATCTTACCCTCAATGCAGCGAAAACTCTCACCTCACTTCTCATGCATAAAAGACACTATATAAATACAAATTGTTGTTGTTAACATCAGAGAGGTGCTGGGAGGCTGAAGGGCATTGGCAAGGTGGCACCAGAGCTCTGCCTTAACCATTCCGAACAAGCTAGAAAAATAATCCTTGTATTTAATATAATGCCTTACTATGTCTTCAGAGATAAATCAGGAAGTAAAGGTTAGGTGATGAAGCTTCATTTTAAAGCCTGTAGATTGAAGGAGGAAGAGAAGATTGGAGGGTGGGAGGGAGGGAGGGAGAAAAGAGTTCCAGAGTCATGAGATCCTGAGAAAGTGTGACGCAGAGGAGGAGATCGTCGGACAACACAACAGCAGCAAGAATTTTTCAGAGGAATCTTTAACAGTTGTACACATTACTAGTCGGAGTGATCACTGGGCCTTTGCTGTTTCCTGGCAACAGTCTGGGGGATGGGAAACTGACAGTGTAATTAATCTGTATCAGCCCAGCACTAAAGTTACCTGAAAAAAATGGAAAATCTTACAAGTCACAGATAAATCTTCAAGCCTTAGAGTGGCCATTGCCTGCATGTGCTCTGGTTGCTTGCAGACACTTCACTTAGAATAAAGAGTTGGGAATGAGAAAGCTACATTACCCCGAGGCCTGGCTCAGACTGAGAGGGTGTGTGACTGGGAGGTTTGTGAAAACTGGTACATATTGCTTGTGAGCAAAGGTAAAACAATGGCTTTGTTTTCAATCTAGTGGCTTTACGCTGGGGCCTCTTACAATTACGTCCTCTTACAAGGACGTCCCAAGGTGCTAGACAGTCAGGGATTTGGACTCGAGCAGGGGATTGGTGTCAGGGAGGGTGGAGGGCAGGGAGGATGGGGTTGGAGGGTGACCAAAGGTGCTATCGAAGAGCAGGGTCTTGAGACATGCCTTGAAGGAGGCAAGGGAGGGATTGAGGTGAAGGGATGTGGGATGGAGTTCCAGAAGTTGGGGGCAGAGAGGCTGAAGGCCCGACTGCCGATCGTGGGCAGGCCAAGCAGGGGATGTGGAGCAGGCTGGAGCCTGCTGAGCGGAGGGACCAGACAGGTCAATATATAGCAAAGGTGTATAAAGTGTACAAACTTAAAAGTGTATAAAATAATAAAGTGTCAGTATAAATTGAGAATTATCACCCCCCCCCACTCCACCACCACCCCCACCCACCCCTCCCAGCAAAAAAAACGAACGAGTACTATAGAATAATTATTTTCGCTGGAGGGTTGTTAGAATGTGGGACCCTCACCACAAATGACTGCTGAAGCCAAGTCTGTAACATTATTGAAAAGGAAATTGGATGCATGGAATTCTCAGCTTGGTTTGGATAGTCTTAAGCAGGTGATGGGTTTCCGCGTGTCAGAAACCCGGCTGGGTAAAAATAAATAAATAAACCCAGTGCCGAGCTCTTATTCTGACCCTAATGCACTGCACACAGAGACTTGAGGAAGAGCTTGAAAGAGACTCAGATGAGCTGTGAAGACATAGACACTGACCACAGGGAGGTGGCTGGACAGCAGATGCCCGTCCTGGCTCAGCATGATTGTCGGAAAGTCCATTCCTGGGTAAGAGTACTGAGGCAGGAAGCCATTGGAGGGCATGGGATGGCACAGGGAATGGTAGCTGGTGTTGGGGTCCATCAGATGAAGAAATGATGGGTCTCCAAGATTAGGTGGCGTGATGGGAGGAATCTCATAGTCTTCATCGCCCAGTCCCTGGCCAGCAAAGGACTGCAAGGAGGAAAAACACATGAATAAATATGAAACATGAATGGAAATGATTACAGAAAGCAACACTGATTCATGATCAAAGTACAGTTTAGAGCACTCGCCTCACAAGCGAGGGGACCTGGTTTCGAATCCCGGGCAGGGCGAAATATTGGGCAAGTTTCCTTACTCCACACGCCTGTTTCCCTAGCAGTAAGGATCGCCTTACAGGAGTTAATATTCCCTCCAAAAAACTCAATCCACAGCTGTTTGTGGGACGCTGCTGTGCGCAATTGACTGCTGCTTTTCACCCACAAAATACACAGTCAATTCACTTAAAAGTATATTCTGTGAAGCACTTTGAGAAGTCCAGAAGGCGCTATATCGAACAACATTATTATTAAACTGTTATTATTAAAAGCCACTGTATTCAGTTCCTTTGTGAATGAAAGGTTGACCTGTTTACAGCCACTGTATCTTTGTGACAGACAAAACTACATTGTTTCTAGCAATGGGAACAAACTAAGTTAAAGCTGGTAACTTTTATTATTATTTCGATGATTCTATAACCTGAACAAAAAAGGACAATACCCTATCAGGATATGGAACAGAATAGCCTTTAATTTCTAAAAGAACTGTCATCTGTTGAGCATGCACAGACACACGTACAGCCTCTAATATATAAAGAGCACAGTTTGCGGCAGATTAGATTTTTTGGTCCATTCTGGAATACAACTTGTATAAAGCTGTTTGGGATGTGACAGGCTTGGCATTTAGGAGAACACTTTTTGAAAATAACACACGTTCCCTGAGGACAAAGTAGTGATTTGTCGAACACTGAAAATAGATAAAAGCTGGAATAGAACACAGGCCTGAATAATAATCCTTGCATTTGATACAGCGCCTTATCACGGCTGCAAGATGTCTCAAAGTGCTTCACAGAATATACTGTAAAGTGAATCGACTGTATATTTTGTGGGCGAAACCCGGCAGCCAATTGCGCACAGCAGTGTCTCACAAACAGTCGTGAATTCAGTGACCAAATGAATATTATTTTTTGAAGGGATTATTACCCCTGGAAAAGTGATCCGCCAATCGACTAAAAAACGGGTTCCTAATCACTGCTGGTAAACAGAGGTGAGTAGAGCAAACTTGCCCAACATTTTGCCCTGCCCGGGAATTGAACCCAGGTTCTTTCACTTAGCAAGGCGAGTACGCTAACCACTGAGCTACAGGACTCCACTTCAGGAATAGAACAGAGTCCTGAATATACCATTTACTGTCATCAGTACTCCTAATGTTCAGCTTTAGGCTTTGTGCATCTGCTGTTGTGTGTTGCTTGCTCCTGATATAAACCCCTCTTTATGCCCCATTGTTTAGTGCAGTTATTTTGCTCTTTTATAAGGGAGCTCTACTGGAGAATGTGCACACATCACCCTCCCTGTAACTCAAGTCACCAAGGAAAGAATTGGCTTAAAAGCGTCTCAACATTTTTGGAATGAGTAAACTAAGTCTGTGATCTGTTGAAGATCCCAGATCTTTGTAAATCGACACAAAGTGGGACAGCAGCTGATATAAAGCCCCTTGTGGAGCCCTTGCTCCTGTCTGGTGTGGGAGCTTGTTGACTCGGTGTATGAAACATGCCCAGAGTCTCAGTGAACACTGGGTAATGAGCGTGAACTACGGCACTACCTCACCCCTCACGCGGCTGAAACTCTGGTCCACACCTTTATCACCTCAAGGCTGGACTATGGGAACTCTCTCCTCGTCGGCCTTCCCGGCCCTCCCTCCACACTGCAGGTCATTCAGAACTCTGCAGCTCGTGTACTGTCCCGCACCAGATTTCGCGCCCACATCACTCCCTCCCTCGCCCTCACCCTCGCCCTCACCCTCGCCCTCGCTCGCCTCCACTGGCTCCCCATCCCCCAGAGGATCGATTTCAAGATCCTCATCCTCACCTACAAGGCCATTCACGGCCTTGCTCCCTCCTACCTCTCTGACCTACTATCCCCCTACCTACCTGCCCGTACCCTCCGTTCCTCTGGCTCCGGTCTGCTCCTCATCCCCCGCCCCAACCGCCCTACCATCGGTGGTCAGGCCTTCAGCCTCTCAGCCCCGAGGCTCTGGAACTCCATCCCCCAGTACCTTCGCCGCTTCCTTCCTTTCCTCCTTCAAGGCCGGTCTCAAGACCTTTCTCTTCAACCGTACCTTCAGCTCCCCTCTCGACTCTCTACCCCCTTCCTCGCTCCCTCCCTTCCCTCCCCTCACCCTGACCATTTCCCCCCTCCTCGCTCGCTCCCTTCCCTCCCCTCACCCTGACCATTTCCCCCCTCCTCGCTCCCTCCCTTCCCTCCCCTCACCATTTCGCCCTGCTCGGGTCCCGACCCAACTGTGCAGCGCCTTGGGACGTCCTCCCGACGTGAAAGGCGCTCAATAAATGAAATCTTGTTGTTGTTGTGAACCATCCTGAGTGAAAAGCTGACTGACCGAGACAATCCCTCATTGTGTTATTGGCTGCTTCAACACATCCCTCCCACCATCCCTTTACACGTAGCTGCTACTAGGCTACAGATAGGAACAACAGTAAGTAATGGGTGTATGAACCTGGCAGACAGACACAGAGAGAGTGAGAGCGCGGGGAGGTGTCTGTGGGAATGGTGAGGGGGATTGCTCAGTGGCATGTGGGACTGACAGTAAATTCACACTGGGCTTTGTAGCCACTACCCTCACAGACCACAGCCCCAGAGTTGACCATGTTCCTGTGGAGAGGAGGTGAGCAGGGAGCAGGGGCACTCTCCAATCTGATTACAAACCACCAGGGGAGCTGAGGAAGGCAGGTGAGAGACTCAAGGTTTGGGAAGGGACACAACACAAGCAGATGAGGGAATCTGATTCCTGGCAAATGGGTCTTGGACACAAAGGCTCCTTCCAGGAGGTAAGATCAGCCATGGCCCTCGCTCACCTGCCCAGCGACACTGGGTCCTCTGGTAAAGCAATACTGACAGCTGTTTGGAGCCATAATGTAAGAGTGTTTTGTGGGAAGTTGAAGAGTAACAATAGACATATGAGCCCAGTTACCACCATCCTGACTGCTGGGATGAAGCACAAGGAGACTTCCTGTTGCCATGACGGCTGAGCCCAGCTCAGGAGCTGCTCAGCCGCCGTTTACAAGTCTATGAGGGTCAAGAGTTCCCTGTGATTTGATTGGACATCAGTCCTGATACAATCACCGTCTACTCTTTAGTTTTTTTCTGAAATGTCATATTTCATTATATACGTCTCAGTCATTTCAGAGGTGAGTGGGTCAGGGACATGTGATTGGCAGCAGCTTGTGTGTAACCTGGGGCTGGATGTGTGTCTCACTGTGGAGCTCACTAATGTACATTCTGTGTAGCACAGTAGTTGCTCTTAGTAACAGATCTGGTCGGCACTGAGGGGGGCGTTGGGGGTGGGTGGGAGAGAGAATGAGCCACTAGCATCGGAAATAAACAGCTTGCTTTGTCAATTAAACCCAGAGAGTGGTTACAGTCTGGAATGCACGGCCTGAAAGGTGGTGGAAGCAGATTCGATAAAAGCTTTCAAAAGGGAATGGGATAGGGACTTAAAAAGGAACATTGTTCAGGGCTATGGGGTAAGAGCGGGGGAGTGGGACTAGTTGGCAGCTCTTTCAAAGAGCCGGGCACAGGCACGATGGGCTGAATGGCTTCCTTCTGTGCTGTAAAATTCTATGATTCTATGCTTCTAAACCAGCTGGATCCGAGAATAAACAATTAAAAGGAGGTTTATGCCCGCTTACCTGGTTGGCAGGCAGATAGTCCTGATTGGCATCTGTGAGACTCATATACATGTTGTCCCCTTCAAACTGAAAACGGAAGAAAGGAACAGGTCAGCATTGTAGAACTTCAAACTGAGAGCAATTTTTATTTCCATCCTCTTTATCCATTTTGTTTTAAAATAATTAATACTCGGTCGCCAAATAGTAGTGTGTGGAGTCCTGTAGCTCAGTGGTTAGAGCACTGGCTCCCAAACGAGAGGACCTAGGTTTGATTCTCAGACAAGCAGAAATGTTGGGCAAGATTTTTTTCTCCACACACCTCTGTTTACCTTGCAGTAATTAGTTGACTAACTGGCTGTTAGTCGATTGGTGGATCGTTTTTCCGGGAGTAATAATCACTTCAGAAAAAATATAATTATAATTTGGTCACTCAATCCACAACTCTTTGTGGGACACTGCTGTGGGCAATTGGCTGCCAAGTTTCACTCGCAAATTTTACACTCAATTCACTTTACAGTATATTCTGCTAAGTGTTTTGAGACGTCTTGAAGACGTGATAAAACACTATATCAGATGCAAGGATTATCATTATTATAGTGCACTGTAAGTATTGTCACTGTATTGTGCACTGTAAGTGCACTATAATAATGATATAGTTATAGTACTCATAGTAAGTGCACTGAGCCATTCAGAGTAGGAGGATCACAGTTTTGAATCCCGGTTAAGATACTGATCTCTGGCAGATGCAGCCTTACCCAGTGATAGATACTTTTCTGGTGCCCTGAGCCTGTAGGTACTCACTCCCCACATTGATTCCTGGCTCACATTGACAGCCTTCAATTGTTACCAGATTTAGGGCCTTTTTGTGCTGGAACCTGAAGCTCACTGGGACACGCACTGTGAGTGAATCAAATCCCTTTCACCCTCCCACCGAGCAGCGCATCAGCCTGAGCAACTCAGTGTTTCACACGTTTAAATTATAACTTTACAGAATGAAAAGAGTTAACATGACATATGGTGTGAACTGCCAAGTGATAATTGACTGCAAAAAATTTAAAACCGAGCGAGTAGAAATAGCAGTGTCCAGACAGCGACTGTTAAAGCAGATTGTTTTACATGGTAAATAAGTTCAATCATTTTTATTTTAAAAGGTATAAAAAAGGTGAATATCTATGAATTGCACTGAGTAATGTGATGCTGAATACAGTATTTACTGACAGAGTCCTGCATTCAGCAGGTGTCCAGCAAACACACACACAAATTATATTAAAATCCTTCCACATCACCCACACATGATGTTTGGGTGACAGATTGGGGTCTACAATACAGCGTTCACAAACCAAAAGTCACTAAATTAAAGTCAATAATTTATAACTAGCAGCCCCTGCATTCGTGAGATTAACTAACACCTCGACCTTTGTTTTCTGACCAAGAAAAACGTTCTCAGAAACACAACAGACAACAACAATAAACAGAATTAGCACAAAAACTTCTGATTTGTGGATGTGGCATTTTATACATGATTAGATAAAATAATCATCTGGAAAGCGCTATAGATGTTTGCCCACAAATATACAATCTATTCACTTTACAGTATTTACAGTGAAGCGCTTGAGACATCTGGAAGACGTGATGAGGTGCTATATCAAATGCAAGGATTATTTGTATTATTATTATGTGGAGTCCTGTAGCTCAGTGGTTAGAGCACTCGCTTTGCAAGCGAGAGACCTGAGTTCAATTCCAGGCAGAGGGCGAAACCTTGGGCAAGTTTCCTTACTCCACACAGAGCCTAATAATAATCCCTCCAAAACCAAAACCAATCATAAATTGGTCATTTTCAATCTACGACTGTTTGTGGGACATTGCTGTGTGCAATTGGCTGCCGCGTCCTAGCCTTGATTCTCTGATCATTGCTGACTTCATTGATCTTGGCCAGGGCACCACTACAACAACAACAACAACAACAAGATTCCATTTATAGAGCGCCTTTCACGTCAGGAGGACGTCCCACTACACTGGACCTTAGGTCCCTGAGCTAGAGAGAGAGAGAGAGAGAAAGCGTGGGACACTCAGATTAATTGTCGACCCTTGTAGAGAGAGCACATGGGAAAGAGTCGCTCAGTGTTCTTGCTCCTGTTGGCTGGAACTTCACTTTAAGTGAGGACTCAGCTGTGATCTCCCCATATTTATATTGCTCGCTGACCCTCATCAAACACTTGATGGATGGGCCATTTGAAGGTGTTTGGCAAGAGACAAGGTACACAAAGGAACATATCTCACCACCAAGCATCTCAATGATATGCTCTCAAGGGGATGGCATGAGGATTGTGGAGCGTTGAGGGCTGCCTTCTCACACTGAATGTGTAGCTGCAGCTTATATCATGACCATGTGTCTTCACACAAAGCTTTGTGAAGTCGGTGGCCCTTTAAAATGTCTTGATTTAAAGAGAAAATCCTTACAAAGAATTCTGATTTATATTGGTTGAAGTGGCTAGTGCATGGAATGGTGGAAGGTGTCCTCTGTCAGTCGACTGTAAGGGTATCGATGCAAAATGGATTGAGGGAAATCTTAACCCAATTCCTAGTGGGTGCGGTCTCCCAGAATAAAAGGACTCATAATTCAGTCCTGAATCTCCCTCAAGAGAGGCCATAGGATGCCAGGTATGGAAAATACAACATGGATAAAGTGGAGAAGGATTGGGCTGAGGAACATTGTTGAGCCAATATAGAGGGAGCTATCCTCTGCCATTAACCTTTCCTGTACCTGAGTTAGGAACGCTGGGTGTGAATGCTTTCTGGCAAAGTGAGAAAACATTCCATTTCCTAGCTTTACAATGTACAACAACAACTTGCACTTATAATAGCGCCCCTCATGCAGGGAAGGTGCTGGAGCCCTTAGGAACAAAGTGTAACATACAAACAGAATGTAACAAACAAAGAATGTCATTCAGACCACCAGCTTTCTCTTCAGTCAGTCCTTCGTTCCTACCTTTTCCCCACAATTCTTCATTTTTCTCCATTTCACAGCTTGTCTAATCCCTTTTTAAAAGCCATTTTGGATTCTCCTTCAACCACATATTTGGTCGGGCATTACTAGAGTTAACCCTCTAGTGATGCTCCCCATGTAATCCAGCACAATTAACATACAGATCAGTGCTTAAGGCTAGTGACCTGCATGTCTCCAATCTAAAGCTTCGTAGGCTTCATATAGATCTCTTGAAAATCAAGGCTTTAGAATGATGTTGATACACCACTGAAAATGAGCACTGATTGTGTGGAATGAGTAATTATGACTCCATATTGTTACCCATCTCTTCTCGTTGCAGATCAGCACAGAGAAGAGCCATCGACGGACTTGGGCAAGAAAACAAAGACACAGAAGAAAAAGAAGAAGAAGGACCCTAACGAGCCCCAGAAGCCGGTGTCTGCCTACGCCCTGTTCTTCCGAGACACACAGGCAGCTATCAAAGGCCAAGACCAGGCCATTCCTGCGGGTTCCACTTTGTCACCTTGTCTGATTCCAGGCCTCTCCGAGTTCAGGAGGGTGAAGTCCCAGCGCCTTGGGACGTCCTCCCGACGTGAAAGGCGCTATACAAATGTTGTTGTTGCTGTAAGGAGCAGAGATTCCACTGTGTCTGTGCTCAGCTGTCACTGGAGAGATCAGTGGCCAGACTTCAAACCTTACGCACTGCAAGTGTAATGAATTCCCTAACACAGGAATTTCTATTCCAATATCTGAATGGGGTATTGTCTCAGTCAGCATCACTCATTAGACAACGTACCTCACTTGTTGATTCCAAACAATGTTGACAAAGATTAGAAGCGTTTAACAAATTTTCCCCCACATAGTGTGTGTAGGGCAGCCTCCCAACAAAAGCAAGCGAGAGAGACTGAGTTAATAATCCTTGCATCTACTAAATAGCTGGTTGTGAATGGAACTGGAGATTACAGACTGGTTTCCCTATCCTCCCAAGCTCCTGCAATTACCTTTCCAACCACTGTGGATTTTGTGGGCGAAACGCGGCAGCCAATTATGCACAGCAGTTTTCCACAAACAGTGGTGGATTGAATGACCGAATTATTATTATTCTTTTTGAAGGGATTATTACCCCCAAAAAAGCGATCCGCCAATCGACTAACAACCGGGTTCCTGATTACTGCTGGTAAACAGAGGTGTGTAGAGTAAGGAAACTTGCCTAAGGTTTTGCCCTGCCTGGGAATCAAATCCAGGTCGTTCACTTGTGAGGCAAGTGTAAGCTACAAGACTCCATGGTTTACAGGACTTGTAAACCCCAATCCTGGTCTCACCTGCTAGTCATTCAGCTGTGGTCACTGGGTAGTTCAGCTCAGCTTGATAATTATTTAGCACCTTTCACATCTCAAAGTCCTTCACAATGACAATGGGAATGGAGGATAGGAGGGTTGGTTTGGGAGAATAACCAAAGGCAGAGTCAAAGTGAGATGTTTTAGGAGAGATTGAAGATTAACTAACTCAGTGTCCACTACACTTCCAAGTCAGTCTATACATCTAAGCTCAACACCGGACAATTTACTTAATAATTGAGCCATCTTTCCATTGTAATTTGGTTTCACACAAGTTGCCTCTTCATTGATTGATATAGAGAGCGAGAGACGCACACACAGACAGAGACAGACTGAGAGAGAGAGGTAAAGAGAGGGAGAGAGACTGCATTGAGAGAGATGGTAAAAGCGAGGCGGATGCTAGGATGCAGATAAGCCTCAGCATCAAACACTATGTGGCTGTGAAACGATTGTTCTGTTGCAAACTGCACAAAAACAATGCATTTACTCCAAAGGGTTAACTGGGCAGGAGAGAGGATGCTGAACAGAAGCCACTTTAACTGAATATGGTAAACATAGATCTAGCGATAAGACAGAAGGTGAGTGTATGGAGCTCTGACTTTCTGTGTATTGGCTTCTTTCACCGCAAGATCAGATAAACTGAATGGAAAAACTTTTGGTTTCCTTTAACATATAATTAGTTATCTTATTGCCATCTAAACATTTCACAAAAAAAGCACACAGATCAGTTGCAGACAGTGACAGTCACATGTTAGAGAGGTACT